TAAACAGGCCCTTAGTATAAAATACAGGCTGCAGATTGAATGTCAATTGCAGGCTGGGCATAAAAATATGTAGATTAGTATAAAATGCCCAGGGTGCATTTTACTTGTATAAGGGTACATGAAATCTTCCATGGGTTTCAAAAGTATGTGGTGTATTGGTATGCGATCTTTGGCATATATACTGGTGTGTAATCAAGGCAGTGGTTGGAGTATAAAGCTCACAACAGCCTTTACAAATAGGTTTTGCAAAATTTTATTTAAAAACATAGACTTATAATATTTTGGTTAAAATGTATTATGTTTTTTATTTAGATCAGTGAAAAAGAGTTACAGTGCTGCACGCCCTACTGTTGTTGACATCAGGCCCATAGACAGGATTTTGAATGGGGGGAGGGTGCGTTAGTGTGGCAAAGTTGGGATTGTACGAGGTGTGAGCTACTAGGGGGTCTCCCTGGGAAATTTTGAAAGAGAATTAGTTGTCCGAGACTGCATTTCGTGCGTTTTGAAGTCAGTATGATATGAAACCAGGCAGCCAAAATGAATGTAAAAACATTAATATTTCTGGGAAAGAATACTAAAAATACATTATTATTGCGGACCCTCGATTAAAGACATTTTTAAGCCAAAGGAGTGCATATTTGGATGAAGAAACTGACTCGCTTGATGTTGTCTCTGTCGATGAAGATGATATGTAAACATGTTCAAAGCTGCGATTGTTTTGATTCAGACTTCATTTTCAAACTACACCTGTCCACTGTTATCGAATTAGAGTGCAAGCACTACTATTTCACTTTCTTTTGAACCGTTGGTCCACTACAGGTGGACCTCCACAGCCCGTGGGGGGTGCAGATGCACCCATTGCACCCCCCTCCCTACGGGCCTGGATCAATGATTGATATCGTTTTTGTCTGACACAAGGTTAGACGGCAGCCGGGCCTGTAGAAAATTTTGGAGAAAATAATTCCTTGTAACTGAAGGGCACCCATGTGCCCTGTCTATGACAGCATTGAGTCAAAAGCCCATACCCTGTTTATGAATCTAGGTCGAAAACCCATACCCTATTGGGTGGCACATCCCAGTATAGGCCATATATATGGGAGTACTCCCCCCCCCCCCCCCACCCCCTCGGGATCTTGACAAGACAGCTTATGAAGAAAAGTCTATTAACCTCTATTGATATTATATTATATCAATGACCACATTTAAATTGGTCTAATTTATTAAAGTATTGTATTGTCTAATTGCCCCACAATCCTGCGTCCAAAAATTCCAGGGGCATGGTTGTGAATGGATGAATGAGTGCCAAAAACATTGGACAATAAAATTAAGTCATATAATCAACAGTTAACAAAATGGGTTAATTATGGATCTAATAATTTATTGTAAATTGTAGATACTAGTCTTATTCGACAATAAAATCATCTGTGCTGATAATTGCTTCGCTTTGCATTTTTAAGTGTAAGCAGTCCTACCAATCAAAATGAGCTGACTGTGCAACGGTCTCATCCACACAACTTTAATTGACATTCTGGTATTTACAACAGCAGTATTTAGCATACTAGCTAGTTGCTTATACTGATGCACATAAAAACATCAACATAATCAACAATCATGGAGGAAGACCTGTAAAAAACTTAATAAAACAAGAGAGCCTGCTTAGCTTGCAGGCTAGACCCGTAATGTTTATGGCCATGAAATGTTCACTTTGGTACAAACTGGCCCTTAATTTTGATATCATAAGAAGTATGATCAGGCTTCTGCATGATTAAAAGAACATTTTAATTTGTTCCTCTACTAATAATAAATTAGTAAAGGAACAAAACTGTTAAAATTATTTTATTCAGAACAAAATAATATAATAGCATTTTAATGTTGACATTTTTAAAGTACCATTATGAACTCGGAAAGGTGATTGCATGTCGACACTGGGTAAGTTCAAATTTGAAATATGTCACATTTTGATTAGACAAAGAGACATTATTGGTCAGTCTGGCATTTTATACCCAGTTTGCAGTTTGCGTTTTACCAGCGGGTGTATTCCATGTGCATGCCACACTAAAGTATCCTGCGAACAGGCTATATATATATCTATAGAGACCCCTGCTTGGGTAACGCCAACTTTCAAAATTCTACGCCTAGAAGCCAAGTCTGTTGTGAGCTTACTCCAACCACTACCTTGATTACACGTCAGTATACGGCAAATACTATGATTGCATGCCAATACACCACACACTTTTGAAACCCATGGCAGATTTCATAAACCCTTATAAAATGCACCTGGGCATTTTATACCTAATCTACATATTTATATCCAGCTGTCAATCTGCAGTCTGTATTTTATACTGACCGTTTTGCCATAATTACATAATATATCTACCCTGAGGGATTTGATGATTCAACTTTTTAAACTTAAGGATCTACTTTGTGCAGTAGAAATAAGTTACAAATGCTAAGATTAGAAGTTATACATGACATGCATATTCGAATAATTATTTCTGATTCAATGGTTGTTTCTTTGATAATTAAAATTAATTCACGGAACAAAACCGACTGATGACCCCAAAGCCGGAATATACATGTATTGTGTCTTACTGGAAACAACAAGGAGATGTAGGAAAAGAAAATACCAACCTTCAGTATAAGATTTCTCTTGTGTCTTCAAGTAAGCACACACGGGCCAAGAGCAACGACATCGGTTTCCAACACTTTACGGCGAGTGTTAATTACCTTCCCGGAGTATACACTACATACTATGACCACCAATGTTTCATCCATGATGTTGTAAATCGAGTGGGCTATAGAAATCGATGTTATCACAGAATCAGGAACTACTAGAGCCAAAAGATGGAACGTCACTTGTTTTGAGAACGTGAAATATCCGCCATGACACGTCACTTCACGTTGTGTTATTTGCCTTCAAAACAACACTAAACCTTTCTCTTTTGCCGAAATTTTTGCTGAATAAGTCGAAGCAATATCTCTGCAAACTTCTTCATATCCACAGTATAAAATGCAACCAAACCATACGTTCAAAAAACGAAGAAATCATGCCTACTCGAAACTGGATTTCGATAGCTCGCGAAAAACGACTCTGTGAGGCGCTTTTTACCGGATGTGACGTCATATTTTGTTGGATGATTCGGAACAAAAATTTCAGCAGTATTCGGCCCCCCTGGCTTGTAGTGGCAATCCATTTGGAGCAAGCTCATTTGACTGAAGACATGGGCCAGGACTTGTAGCACTGTGATGATCTTAACTCAAGGAACTAAAAACCTAAGAATTGATGTACCGTAGCTAGAACCAGTCGTAAATCAAGGTTTTAAAATGTTGATCTACTTACATGTATCACGAATAGCTGTTTTGCTGTTGCATATCACTAAAATTACTGACCGATGAGCACTGTGCTTGCATTATGCTCAATTGAGTCTCAGTGATCGTATGTTTGTGACTCTATATATAGCTCATCGTGTTGTCATTGTAGAATACAGTCACATCCACGAATAATCTGTACAACTTTTTCTCGTTTATACAAATTTTATGACCAGAGAATGGCTTTCCAAAGTACGGCCGTTCAGACCAAGCTGCAGTTTTGTCAAAGCAAATTCCTGTAAAACCTCAGTTTTGTGTGCGGTTTGTGTTAAAACGCTGGTGATACCACAGGGAGCAGAGGAGCTAAATTTGACTTGTGCCAGTTTCGATCCAAATGCTTTATACGTACGTGACCTTTGCGAGTTTCGATCTGTTTGCTTTCATACGCGGTGTATTGCGTTACTGCGTTATTCGATCTTTTTCTTTTCGTTTTTTCGTCCCAGCGGGAATTCCTTAGGGTCACATGCACACAAGATCGTTACGCTGTAAGAAGAGAGACAAGGGATGAAACTAATTTGAGCCCAATTTTCGATCCCCGATAACTCGCTTTTGATGCAATAAAAAACCCTGATTTTCGGCATGTCGTCTTATATGGGCAGTCTCAAGACAGCTGTTTAAAAATTTTGATGAAGAGATCCATCAAACACTCCTTTCGGTGATCGCTTTTTATGGCGTTCAAAGTTGACTTTCGTTGGATGTGCACCGTAACATACTGGTGACGGAAATACGTCATATGTATTGTTGCGAGCATCACCGGAAGCTAATGGAATAAGTTTATTCATCTGTACACTGTCTGGAACAGTACCTGTTTATGTAATCATCAAACGCCGCTTTCTTGTAAAGAGAAGGCCTGCAAAGGAAATACAGCGATTTATCGATCGATCGATCTTAAGATAGCTTATAAGAACGCAAACAATCCCCACTCTTTAGAATAGTTGAGCGAGCGCGAAGCGTGAGCGAGATGGAGTTATTCCTGCGATCTTTGCCTTTCGCTTATTTCCTCTGGGAAAGATTATCCTCAGTTGAAACGCGTTTCGTTTTAAATCTCCCTCCGATCAACTGTTGTTTTGAATTTGAATTCGTAATGAATGGCTTCACTTCCGATTTATTGACGGCTTACGTCACTTCCGTCACCAGTATGTTACGGTCCACATCCAACGAAAATTTGGTACTATGTTTCATCCCTTGTCGTTATTTCTTCTCGGCACTTCGTGCCTCGCTCGGAAAGCTTTCGCTTTCCAGTTGTTGCCCTTCGGGCAACGACCGGAAAAGCGACCGATTACCCGCTGGGACAAAAAACGAAAACAAAAAGATCGAATAACGCAGTAACGCAATACACCGCATATAAAGCAAACAGATCGAAACTCGCAAAGGTCACGTACGTATAAAGCATTTGGATCGAAACTGGCACAAGTCAAATTTAGCTCCTCTGCTCCCTGTGGTGATACGTTGATCACTGTACAAAATGTTTAACTAGGTCTCCATAACAGGCATCATTATTGAAACTTCTAGGCGGAGTCTGCAAATAGACAGACGAAACAAGGAAGGTTGATTTATAGTGATACTCCGTCACTATCCTCGGAAGGGCAAACGTTTATTACCAGAGTGAATTTCAAAATTCATATCGTGGCGGCGGCGTGGCCGAATGGTTTAGGGCGCTGGATTTAAAATCTGGCGGTCATTGGTTCTAATCTATGAAGCCAAATCCTCCACCCTGCCACTAGCTGGATTTGTTCTCGGTAGTCCCGAGTTCAGCTCCTCCGCCACGGTGTATAAAAAGCCAACTGGACAGCCTCCCACCGGTTGGGATTTGTAACAAGTTTATGTTCCATTTACAACATTTCTTTGTGTCCACAATTAGCACAGTCGTGCTAAAACCACTGACACTTTACATGTACATAAGGTCATTTATTTATGTTTATGTCTGTAAGAGGACAAAGCAAGTAGAAGTATTACTACGATTACACCATTTGATTCCCAATCAGCAAAACTTAATTCAACTCTACAAGTCAACAGCCAAATGAACCATCTTACCATTGCTGACTTACTGTCACGTGGGCTTGGAATTTCTGCTGCTCGTTAGACACTAGAAAATTGGAGTGTGTAGAGGAATAAGTCCTACGAGCCGTTTATTGTGATAGAAACACTATTTAGTCCCTATTTGTGGTATAAATTGAAAACGTGGTTAAAACCAATCTGTCTCTATAAATTTATTCAGAAATAGTATAAGAGAGGCGAATTTGGAGGACCTGCTTTTTTTAACATAATACTGGCTAGGCGTTACAATTTTTTAGCATAATTTTATAATTTAGATTTTTTAGATTTGTGTAAGTTTAGAATATTTTAGCATATATTATTTTAGAATACGACCCGGTTAACGTTGTTCAAAGGACGATTAAGCTAATCCCGGATTAGCATTGATATTGATTTCAGTTTTGCAACTTTTCAGTGAGGTTTTCTCTTTATATTTTTTGTCCTTCGGTTTTGACTTTGTGTAATCCCAAACTCTACAAAACATTAGCAGTGAAAAATACTCTTTATACAAGAGAAATTAAAACCTCGATTAACTTTTAATCCTGGATTAGCGTTAATTGGCTTTCGAACAACTGCGCCCAGATGATTTGTAACTAAACTGACATCAGTTACTTCAGTTTAATGTGTCCCCTGAAAAGTGCTAGATTGGACAGGACACTTAAATAAAGTTGATGTTATTATAGAGTCTTTTCACTAACGTTTTATTCACAGCCTCCCCCGCTCCTCACCTCGTACCCCAGTCATTCGCACCCCCTCCCCTGGATCACTAGATAAGCTTTTGTAAAGGCATGTTTAACAGAAATCCTCTGGATCTGTTCGACTCCTATCATTGAGTCCAGTACCTTGACCGCAGAAGACGGTAGAGGAAAACTTGAATGCGCATGCTCTCAGCTGTTCCGTAGGGGGAGGTCAATCTCGTTCCAGAGTCCTCGTTAAGCCTGTCCCGATTGTGCTCGGCAACTTTTGAGCAACTTTTGGCGTTTGGATATAAAGCACGAAAAAGTGAACAATTTGATAGAAAAATTCAATTTATGCGACTTTATTGAATGTTTATCAATGTACAATTAATTATATTTTTAAAAAAAATTAAAAACAACCTTTTTTGTAATTTGTTTTTAAATTTTAATTTATTTTTTTAATCGAAAAATAACGCTTTTAATTAACGTTTTGTATAAAAGTATCAAGAACTTTAGGTAGCAGCTTTTGAAATTTAGGTAGCAACTGTTTTACCAAACACTGTAGGACTCATGTAGGATTAGTTGTTTAAACATGCTATTTGCGTGTGTTACAGATGTGAGAAATCAAAGTAAACGCCATACTACCGACGACTAAAGCTTTTATTGATTTTTCCTGCCATGTTTAGTGCTTTTGTTGACTTTTGTTAACTCGTGTTGCTGCCATGTTGATGTCATTAATTTGTTATAGAATAATGCAAATTACAAAACAAGGGGGGGAGGGGGGGGGGGGTAGCTACTTCCCATACATTCTCTTAAATCAAATTCAAACCATGCTGTCACAACAATCATCACAGCTTTAACCAGCGGATTCATAATCTGCACGTGCGTAGACGTGCGTAGAAGTTGCGTAAAGCAAGCCAGAAGGAAAGCTATAAAAGAAAACCATGGCGGCCGATGAGGCGATGGAAGTGCGTACTGATCATGATGTATGAATGATTATTGTATTTTTTCACTTTGTGATCCTTTTAAAAACCAGATAACTTCTTCCTCAAGTTTTTCGTTTTTAAGATGCAACCACGACCGCGACGACAACAAGGACGTCACAAAACAATAGGTTTAATTAGTAATACAATATTCTGCACGTGTGTTTTGCATATTTCTTTGCCGTCCCATGCAAAACAAAACGCACGTGCGTTTTGCATTTACATTTATTTGCCTTCGTATGCAAAACAAAAAAAATCTTCAACACGCGAAGGTTAATTTCCTTTTTCTGTCCTGGACTTGAACTCACGAATTCAGCTCCTGGAAAGTTCGGCCACATTGGACAAATTGAACGTGTTGGAATAATCTCGAAATAGTTTACAGGAACGTTAATTAATTTTTTAAGGAATTTTGCGCGCGAAAAACAAGCCTTAAGAAAACACGGCTGACCAAAACGAAATTGATCGCTTTGCAAGTTGCGAGAGCATGGTTCGAGGTCCCAGGCCCCTATCTCTCTCTCTCTCCTGTCCCCCCCCCCCCCCCCCCCCCCCTGACAAAAAACTATGTTACAGGTGAGGAGAACAACGAGCTTTTGTTTTGACATTTCGTTATGTTTACATGACATATATCCTTTAGGTCATGTGATTTAGACGACGGGAAGAAGAAAGGGGATTAAGCGATCTTACGCCGTACAGCGGGGAATATTTCAAGTTTATTGCAGGTTTGTTGCTCACTTACTTATTTATAATAAGGCTTCGGTATCAAATTCTAGCGTGGAGGCTTATTCCGCTCAGAATCAACGCAGTCCAAGTGGATTATGTATCAGAGGCGTTTCAGTTCCGCATTTGCGGAATCAGTACCCAAATGATTATTACTGAGCAATTTAGAACACAAAATAATATGCTTTCCCCATTTTTTATCTTGACACTGCACATCATTTGCTGCGATATATGAATACCTTCGTGCAAAATGATAAATTAATACTTCCGCTTTCGAATTTAATACCCGCATTTATACCCCTGCAATAAAATCCCTATTGTACGTTAATAAGATTATTGGCTAAATATCTGGGATAAGCAAGTTAGGAAAATAATTTTTGTTTAGTTTTTCCTTCCCGTGACGTGAATGTTGCAATATTTTGAATTATATTTTCAAGTTCCTTGGTAACTGATTTTGCCAAACGGCCTAACAGTAGTGAGTTGTGTCTGTAAAATATGCTAATGTTTGGTGAAGCAGTTATAGCGGTGGTATATATTTGACTAGTTTTTACAATGTAACAGTGATAGTTTAAACGTCCCGGAAAGTAAATGCGCGCGTAAATATTTTATTGGTTTGACCAATGATTAGCACTTGCCCACTGATATATGATCTGAACCCGGGATCTGAAATGCAAACTAGGACATGAGCACAGACGCTCTCAGCAGCCACCTTCATTGATATTCCACAATGTTAATTTGTTTTCGTGCAAACACATACTTAATTATTAGTAACAAAACATTACTGGCGCAGTAGCGATGTTACAGTGAATATCGCTATTGACAATGATTCCTGCCAATACGTTATTAGCTTTTCGCAGGGGGTACTCCCGTACATTATAAGGAAACTCAATATTACGCGCACAGACGTTATTTTGAAACGTCACACATTGTCAATCTTTTCTCGTTGTGGAGGGAAATTGTGCGACGTTCCATAACGAACAACGTTTGCGACAGTGTTTTGTTTGAATTATGCAATATGGGTTAGTCCCAATTTACTATATATATAGAAATACATTGTACCTTTAGATCATGTGACTTTATACACGAAAGAAGTGAAGAGGGGTAATATAAAGCGATCTTACGTCGTACTGCGGGGAATATTTCAGGTTTATTGCAGGTTTGTTGCTTACTTACTTAATTGATAACAAGGCTTCGATATTGAATTCTAGCACGGAGACTTTTTCCGCTTAGAATCAACGTTAAACGCAGTCCAAGTTTAATCGTGATTTCAGAGGCGTCTCAGTTGCGGATTTACCAGGAATGTCAGGAATATATCAGTATAGATATGATTTATTAAGTACTGCGCAATTTCGAACAGAATAAAAGCTTTCCATTAAGTTTTATTTATAGTTCTTGACGATGCAGTTGCTATATCTTAATACTACGAACAGGGACTATGAAGACCTTCATGCAAAATGATTCAATTACCGGCTGTCGATTTCTAGTTTAGCCATTACGCACATTTAATACCCCTACTATGCTACGATAAGATTATTAACTAAATATCTTGGATAACTAAGTTAGGAAAGGAATTTGTGTTTAGTTTCTCCGTTCCCTGAATGTTGCAATATTTCGAATTATCTATTCAAGTTCCTTTCAAAACGAAGTGGACCCTAACAGTAGTGAAATGTGTCCTTCGGTTTTGACTTTGTGTAATCCCAAACTCTACAAAACATTAGCAGTGAAAAATACTCTTTATACAAGAGAAATTAAAACCTCGATTAACTTTTAATCCTGGATTAGCGTTAATTGGCTTTCGAACAAACTGCGCCCAGATGATTGTTACTGACATCAGTTACTTCAGTTTAATGTGTCCCCTGAAAACTGCTAGATTAACATGACACTTAAATAAAGTTGATGTTGTTATAGAGACTTTCACTAACGTTTATTCACAGCCTCCCCCGCTCCTCACCTTGTACCCCCAGTCATTCGCACCCCCTCCCCCTTGATCACTAGATAAGCTTTTGTAAAGGCATGTTTAACAGAATCCTCTGGATCTGTTCGACTCCTATCATTGAGTCCAGTACCTTGACCGCAGAAGACGGTAGAGGAAAACTTGAATGCGCATGCTCCCAGCTGTTCCGTAGGAGGAGGTCAATCTCGTTCCCAGAGTCCTCGTTAAGCCTGTCCCGATTGTGCTCGGCAACTTTTGAGCAACTTTTGGCGTTTGGATATAAAGCACGAAAAAGTGAACAATTTGATAGAAAAATTCAATTTATGCGACTTTATTGAATGTTTATCAATGTACAATTAATTATATTTTTAAAAAA